GGGGCCCTGGCAGTGGACTGTTGTCCCAGAAAAGCTCGCCGGGTTCCTACCTCACACACCTGCTTATCCTCGAAGCCTTTCTGCCATACACACCCCACAATGCTCTTGCAGACTCTGGGCACCAAAGTTTTCCTTTCTTGCCGGTTAACTTTACTGCTTTGGCTTCATTCCGCAGTTGTTTTGATTTGGGATGGATGCTCATTTGGGCGGTTGGTGGCGTTCACTTTTCCTACAACCTGCCCAGAGAGCATTGGCACCGGGGGTGGGGGGGGAGACAGCTATGATCAGCATGGATCCACATGGGGGTGCCCCAAAGCGAAGCCCATGGGGACGTGGTCCAGGCCAGGATGAGAGCTCTCCTGGGTGCTCCGGCATGTGTGGATGTGGAATAGCCTCCGGCACGGTCGCGGTGCCATGACAGAGAGTGAGTCGCTTCCCAGTCGTCTGCGTAACTTCAAAGTCATCCCGGGGCTCCGACTCCAAAAGTCATCCAAAGACTGGCCTCTGACCGAGGCTCAGCCTCTTCCAGCCCAAGGGTCAAATTTAGTCTCGGCGCCTGGGGACTCTCAAGGGCTGGGGGTGTGTTCCAGTGAAGGGCAGAGCCAAAGCAAAGGGGGCATGCCCCCCCCCCCCGGCTGCAAAGCTCAGGGAACGGAGCAAAGCTCAATGAGCCAAGGTTCAATTTGGATGCCGGGAAGCACTTCCTGACAGTCAGGACCCCGAGGGTGTGGGATGGGCTTCCACGGGAGGTGGTTGAGGCCCCATCGGTGCGGGTGTTCAAGGATAGGCTGGACGTCCACATGGTGGACATGTCGTGAGCAGAGCAGGCTGGAGCCGGGGTCAGACTAGATGGCCCAGGAGACCCCTTCTGACTCGCGCTGACTCTGTTTCCATGCAGCCTCTCTCCCCTCTAACGAAAGCGTCTCTCCTTAGAACGAAACCGACGACAACCAGATCCAGCTCGTGGGGGGCGACGTGGAGCTCCCCAAAGAGCTGGCCAAGATGATCGAGCAGGACAATGAGGAGGAGGAGGGCAAGGACTCCGTGATCGGGCAGCTGACCAACATCCAGAACTTGGACCTCGATTCCCTGAAGGACAAGGCGCAGGCGACGCTCGATGACCTGAAGCAGTCGGCCGAGAAGTGCGCCCTCATGTGACCAGGCTCGACGAGGGCGCCGGAGCCCATGCGCCACCAAGTCCCCTGGCAGGCGGGGCGTGTGCAAACAGCGGCCCATGGGGGCCGTGGGGGGGGGGCTGGGTGATGAAAAACGATGCGGCACCCCCCCCTCGAGCCTTGTCTTCCTCCCCGAGTGTGAGCTGGATCCCTCCCCGCCCCCAGGCCACCATTCCCTCTCTGCAGAAGATGCCTGGCCGTCCCCAGGGGCGGCGCTTTGTGGTCTCAGGCCTAGACGAGAGCCCCCTCGCCTCTCCCACCCACCCACGCCCCCACCCGGCGAGCTCGCATCCGCTTGCTGCCCCTTCCAGGTGGCCCGTCCTGCCCCGCTCCCGTCCTGCCCCCTCCCTGGAGAAGCAAGCAAGCCAATTTCCATTTCGGAACTTCAGAACTGGCTTGGTAGTTACCCGAATGTGGGGAAAGAGAACCACCCCGCCCTTTCCTATGGAGAAAAGCCAAATTTGGCCCTCACTGAAACACAAGGAAAGGAGAGACAAAGCGTGGAGCTTGGCAGAGGGCCAACCGACCAACCAAGCAGGTCATTCGGCCTCCAAGAGTGAACCCAACCATGAATCAAAACGATCGGCCGGCCGGCCTCCCTCCCCCGAGACCCCCTGGCTCATTGGAGGGGAAGACTCCCCCCCCCCCCCCCCCCCCATCCACACACTCATCCATAGCAATACAGAAAAGCAGTGACAACCCGATGCACCAACAAGGGGAAGCATAGTTGCGTGATCCCCATTTTACAGATGGGGAAAACCGAGGCACAAAATACAGTTCGACTATTTTGGGCCAGGCCACACCGAAGGACAAGACCTGGCATCCCATTGGATGGGGCTCAGTTAGCCAAAGGCAGTGGGCTGCCCCGTGGATCTTACGTGTTCCGATTCCATGTGTAATGTGGTGTTGTGGGACCTCTCTTTGTCCTTACTTCCAGGAGCAGGACCTATGTATCTTGAATGTGGCAGTCAGTCTGTATGTTGTGTTGTGACTCTGCGGTGTCCCTGTCCCAGCCTCTCCCCGAAATGGCATCCCTATTTCCATGGTACTGTTAAAACTGGTTGAATAAATACCAAGAGTTCTCTATGCATTCCATTCTCCTGCCATTCCAGAGTAAAGAGATGGGGTTGTTCACTGCCTTTCCTGAATTCCACACAGGAATCTCTGCAGCTGCCGCACGAAGAAACGCAAAAAGCTATGTAAGTGAGGAGAAAGGAACTTGGTGAAACAGAATTCTGGTTCGTGACGCAAAAGCTTTTGGGTAGAGCTGTTTACGGTCTCAGCAGGGAAAGGTTCCCACGTGTGACTCTTCGTTCCTCCCCCAAAACCAGACTCCCTCACTGGATGCTGGAACCTGTGCAGGTTCCGGACACCTTGGACCGCAAGCGAGCAACTCCTCCTGCTCCGAAGTGCCGAGTCCGACTTGGCGACAGGTAACACAGGCCACGTCACGTGGCGGGAGCAACTGCCTCCTTCAGCTGGACAGTGGGGCCGGCCCTTCCCATAACACTCTCGATCCTAGACCGAGGGCCGCTGCTGGAGCCCACGAAGCAAGGCCTTCAGCTCCCCTTCATCTGCTCTGTGAGACAAAAGCCACTTACATTGCGTTGCTCTGGTTTGCCTCGTTTCAAAGGTCCACAGGTTGTGCTGTGCACTTTCGGTCAAAGGTATGCTAAAGGCAAACATTTGCCAGGCAAGCAGCTCCCGAACGGTCCCTTCTTGTGGTTCTTTAGCTGCTGAAGCTGCAACAGCCCTGCAAAATTGAGGTCACCTTCAAAATATGTGGGGAAAATACAGGGCAGTCCCCCGGCAGCCCTTCCAGTGGATGGCTGTCTTCTTGAAAGAGGACCCCTGGCCATCCTACCAGTAGCTTTCGTTTCTTACGCAGACCAGTGATGGAGAGATACAAGGTTCCCGACTGCTTGCTCAGGTTTCCCAGCCACGGCTCTTTGAGCCGCACAACAGCCCTGCCAGGTAGGTTAGACTGAGAAGTGGTTCATGGTGCAAACTCACTCGGAAAGACCCAGGGCTGAATATGCAGGGTTTGAGCCAGACGTCCCAGGTCTAACTCCAGTCCTCCAAGCCTTGCACGGTGGCACACCGGTTCTCTAATCAGTGTCCACGAGGCACGATGAGGTCCAGAAAGGTGCCACGGAGCCCAGCGTCCCCATGCCTCACTCCCGTCTGCTGAGGAGATGCTACCACCGTGCTTTGGTTAGCGCCACGCAAGCAGAGAACCACAACAGATGCCGCCACCAAGAATCTCGTCCCGATTTAGTGCCTGCAGCGCCAGAGAACTGCCTGCTCTAAAAATAACGGTGCCCCCCCTTCCCTGTATGAATCATACCAAAAACAAGCACCAGAATGAAATCCATCTTTCATTGATTTCTGAAAGATGGATTTCTCTGACTCCAGGCGCCACATCTCGCCGCAGGCCCCAGCACGGGGCTGCTTCTGGGCGGGGATCTCCCGAAGGTGGACCCCTGGGCAGAATGGATGTGGGAAAGCAAGCCACATGGGTGCTGAAGGCCTGCAGAGGACAGTGGGCCGCACTGCGCTGCCCTGCAGAATCCTGCGTCTGATTTATGTGGGGTTCCTATAAACCCAACCGACCATCTGGCTCCCTGGGCGGCTACCAGCATGCAAAGATCTTGGAACAGAACCTCATGTGACGCGACCGTGTGTGATTTTTTCCCTTCTTTGCAGCAGAGAGAAGACTGAAACTAAGCGGAATAATATGCAACACACAATCATTTTACTTCTAGCACATGGCCCCTCCCAAAGCACACCTGCAGGCAGAAGCATTTCATTGCAAATTCACCCATCAGGTGGATGACGACAGGCGAGAATTCAGGATGGGAGCCCAGTGTCACCCAGGGGTCCTCTGGCCTTTCCCAGTCCTCGCTGGAGAGGCCGCCAGGGACCAAACCGGGGTTTCCGCGAGGCAAGCAAGTGCTTGACCGCTTCCCTCGTCCGTCCATAAAAAGAGTGTAACCTTTATGGGGGATGCCCTACTCCGAATGCTGCAGCTCAGCTCTGAACGAGCGTGCGAGCTGGTCCTGGAGGGCTGTCACCGCGCCTCGGACGGACGTTGCCTTGGGAATCCTGCTACGGTGACCCAACTCACATGGACTGGCATTGCAAAAGTCGATGCCACGGGAGGGCAGATTTGCATCTAACCCGGGGGGCACCCAAAGCTTAGTTGTGAGCGTGGTTGCTAGAGCAACTGAAGACACTGGCCCACTGAGAGGGCATTATAAAAGGGATCAACTGAAGAAGATCTCTCCGCGATATAAAGGCAGGAAAGAGCTGCAAAGAGGTAAACTGATCCTGGCAGGGAAGCCTTCTTCTGCTTTTTCAAGAGGTCTTTCTTTTCCTTCCCCTTGTTCATTTCGCTTGTTTTAATTCCAACAGATAATTCGGACACCAGATGCCTTATTCGTAAGGAAGCAGTGCTGCTAAGCACTTGGACGAAGCCGTTCCCCAGTTCATTAGCAGCAATTCTTGAAAAGCTGGGAAAAAGCCATGCTGGCACGACTGAGCAGCAGGAGAGTGTCACTGGAGTGGGCCTCCTTGGGAGTAGGTGCAGCGTGAGCATCTATTTGTGACCGCAAGCAAGCCAGTTCTTCCAACAGTTCTTTGCACAACCTCAAGTGGAAGCGATTTCCTATTGTCCGTGACTTTTCTTTCAAAGTTGTCCTCGCCGTTGTTTCCTTCCAGGCTTCTGTTCGATGGTTCTCCCCTCCCCTTTCCTTTTCACAACTAGCTCGGAAACCTCATCTCTGCAGAGACCATGTGATGCACCCGTGGTTTATTTTAGGAGCCGAAATGACCTCCAGTCGTGAGAAAAGAAAGCAGCAAATGTTTTCCTGTCTGGAACCATAAGCTGCCACACACAGGAAGGCACTGGGGCTGATAGGAACCCTCTGGGGCAGAACTCCATGTGCTTAAGCGCACAGCAGGCTTCCTTTCCTGCCAACCGCTCTCTTACTGCGCACAGAGGCAGTTCGCTCGTCGGATGGCTCTCCTGTTGCCCGTTTTCTCGGGCAGGGGAACATCTCCTCACCCTAAGCAGTGGCGAACCTGTGGCACGCGAGCCGCAGTGGGCACGCAGAGCCCTCTGCATCGGCACGCAGCCAGGTCCCCCCAGCATCGCCCCAGCAGCTGCGCATCGGATCACAGCGCACACCGGGGCCGTGCGCACGCTCGGGAGGGAGTAGCCATGGCTCATCAGCTGCGACTTGTCCGAGCTCTCGCATGGCCAGTCAGTGCGCTGCCGTGTGCGTGTGCGTGTGTATTTGCTTCGACTGGCTGTGAGTTGTTTTTTCTAAACTAAAACCTCAGTATTCAGGTTAGATTGCAGTGTTGGCACTTTGCGATAAATAAGTGGGTTTTGGGTTGCAGTTTCGGCACTCGGTCGCTAAAAGGTTCACCATCACTGGGTTAGGGTTAGGAAAACGAGGTGTCCTGGCAGGGTTTTGATACTTGGAATGTGTTCTGAAAGGGCAGAACACCTGAGCTGGACAGAACAACCTACTCAAGGAAGGCTTTTTCAAAATCACCCTCTTTTCAATGGAGCTTTACCCCTATGTTAGGGTTAGGGTGTGCACCAGGGTGGGGTTAGGGTTAGGAAAACGGGGTGTCCTGGCATGGTTCTGATGGTTGGAATGTGTTTAGAAGGGGCAGAAAGGATGAGCTGTGCAGGAAAAGCTACTCCAGGAAGGCTTTTTCAAAATCGCCCTCTTTTCAATGGAACTTTGCCCCTATATTAGGGTTAGGGATGTGCACCAGGGTAGGGTTAGGGTTGGGAAAACCAAGTGTCCTGGCATGATTCTGATGGTTGGAGTTTGTTTAGAAGGGGCAGAAAGGATGAGCTGGGCAGAAAAAGCTACTCAAGGAAGGCTTTTTCAAAATCACCCTCTTTTCAGTGGAGCTTTACCCCTATATTAGGGTTAGGGATGTGCACCAGGGTGGGGTTAGGGT